CGCAGGATGCTGATCCGGCTGCGGCTGCCGCAGCAGCTGCGGCGGCGATGGAGGCGGCGGCGGCGACGGCGGGTGCCGCAGCCGCGGCTGCGGCGGAAGAGGCTGCGGCTGCGCTGGACGCGGCGGCGGCGGCCACGGCGGCGGCAGAGGCGGCGGCCGCGGCGGCGGAAGCAGCCGAGGCCGCAGTCAAGGCAGAGGCCAAGGCGGCACCTGCGCCGGCAGAGGCGGCGGCGGCGACGGCGGCTGCCAAGCAGCCACCCGCGTCAGCCTCGAAGCCTTCGCGGAAGGAGAAGGCGGCCGCGGCCAAGGCGGAGACGGCGGGAGCGGAGGCCAAGGCGGCCAAGATGGCGGCGGCCGAGGCGGCGGCGGGGGAGGAGGAGGTTGCTGGCGCCGCGGCGGCGGCGGCGGCGGCGGCGGGAGAGGTTGGGGCTTCCGTCGACGCAGTGCTGCAGCAGAGGCTGATCTGGCTGCACGAGACGCGGGTCGAGGCGGAGGCGGCGGCCCAGGCGGCGATCGCCGCGCGCAAGGCGGCGGATCGGGCGGCGGCGGCGTCGCAGGCGGACGCCGCTGCATGGGCGCACGAGGCGGATGCCGCCGAAGAGGCGGCGCCACCCTAGCTGCGGCGCCACCCTAGCTGCGGCGCCACCCTAGCCGCGGCGCCACCCTAGCCGCGGCGCCACCCTAGCTGCGGCGCCACCCTAGCTGCGGCGCCACCCTAGCTGCGGCGCCACCCTAGCTGCGGCGCCACCCTAGCTGCGGCGCCACCCTAGCTGCGGCGCCACCCTAGCTGCGGCGCCACCCTAGCCGCGGCGCCACCCTAGCTGCGGCGCCACCCTAGCTGCGGCGCCGCGTGCCTTCCAACCTAGCACTCGGGGAGATGCGCATCCTGCGGTGCGCCAGCTGCAGCCGTCGCACCGCAAGGAGATATGGGGAGATATGGGGAGATCTGGGGAGAGATGGGGAGAGATGGGGAGAGATGGGGAGAGAGGCACGGCACTCGCACCGCTCGTTCTCGCGCGACTGCTCTGAATGCACCGCGCACGAGGCTGTCCTCCCCCCGCCCCTCAGATATGGGGAGATATGGGGAGATATGGGGAGATATGCACGAGGCTGTCCTCCCCCCGCCCCTCAGATATGGGGAGATATGGGGAGATATGGGGAGATATGCACGAGGCGGTCCTTCCCCCCGCCCCTCAGCCTCCCTTGCGCGTGCGCACCAGGCAGCTCTGCGAGCGGGCGGTGCGAGGGGGGAGGCGGAGGCTGCGGTGATGGCGGCGCTCGAGCAGCAGCAGGCGGCGCGGGCGGAGCAACCGGCCAGTGC